TGGAGAGTATTCCACATATCATCAATCTGATTTACCAGAACTTTAGGGTCTAGAGGTGGCAATTCATCATCAAAGTCTAAGCGTGCCTCAATTTCTGTAAGCAGCTCGATACACTTCTTTCTCAGTGATTTGACCAGGTACGAGAAGCCTCCCTGCAAAAGAATATATTTCAATCATTATTTCATAGCTAATGACTAGATGCTTTATTATACCATCAGGAAATTGCAGTTTTGCAACACAAAATCAAACAAACATCTCTCTGCTTTATACAATTTATATTATGAACTAATGTAACTAAATATATACCTGTATACCAGCCAATGCAGACTCTGCTGCAGCCAGAGACTTTGCTGCTATCAATTTTCCAACATTTTCGGCCTGAGATAGGTCCAAGCGTCCATTAAGAAAAGCACGAAGGGTGAACTCCCCTAAGTAAAACACAATACACTTCGATCAGCAAAATCATATAAAGACCAATAAATTAATTACCAATTGGGAAAAAAGGAAACATAAATTAGGATAAAACTTCCAAACATACAGCTTCCTCTCTACACAAGAAGCACAGGATTTAATATTTCTGTCTTTCAGGAAAAAGTTGCAGCAACTGTTCAACTCAATTTAAGGAGAATAATCACAGGTATAGCCACTCGAGGAATTTCAACTCTGCCTATCAATGGAACTAGGATTTTAGATACAGACACAGGCCAAGCAATTTGCTACAGTTGTGATTTTAAACAAGAAGATATGCTTCCAAAGACCAGAGTAAGGTGAAAGGAACTTCTTGGTTGAGTCCAACAGAGCAAGTTTGATATGAAAATTGACCTGACAAGAAAATTATGAAAATCTAAAGGAGATAATTTTAACAAATTTCTTCCTTTACAGCCAAATGCTAGACTAACTTGCCATGTACTATAAGCCTATGAACTCTGGACAAATAAAAAAAAAGCTACATAAAGTAAGAAACCAACCAGGTTCCGCAAGCCTTGCCCCAGCCTCTAGGCAGGCTCTTAATACTCGGTTCAAGCATACATCAGTTCCATGACACTGGAGCTCAACCACATCTTCTCTGGTATAAGATCTTGGTGCCAACATAGGAATTGCAAGGACCTAACAGAAGTCATTGTAAATTAAATGCAGAATGGTACAAAAAGGTGCACTTAGAAACAATTAACTATTGGAAGAAGAAATAAATGTGGTCAATATATGCTGCACGAAGACATGTAACTGTTATTACTCAAGCAACTGATTATTATAAAAATAAAACCCATGTCGATTCTAGATTTGATTTTTTTTTAATTTTATCACAATAAAACGATCGTATAAACAGCGAAAAAATGATGTCCAGAGAAAAATAATCAATTGTTTAACATCCATTAACAGCGAAAAATGAAATTAGCTTGAAAGAACACAAATAGTAACTTCTTTATCCAATTTTCCCCTATTGTAGCAGAAGAATACAGTAGGGTTTCTGCAGCTAAAAATTAACAATCATTTTCACGGCTGAGATTTCTGAATGCATCTGCAGGATGACAATAGAATTTTTTGTGTTTCTCACAATAACGACTATGAGTTGTCGGTTACATGCCCAAGGATCACAAGCAATAAACATAGGGATCACATAAGTGCGAAATGATATGGGCGCATTGTAAACACTGAAAACAAAATGAATGAACATAACTTAGTAACAATCAAAGCTCAACTGAAAAATGCGATGGTTGCAACAGAAGCCAACAATTGTCTCATTCTAAATAGCATTAAAAACCAACTAATACAATGGCAAGTACCTCGTCAATGACATTTCCCTTCCGGTCCAAGACGAAACCATACTCCACAAAGTGGCTTCTAGGCCTCCAGGAAACCACACGAGACCCTTCCTTGGACGTCGTCGCAGGCCGGAACACCTTTGCTGCGACGTCCACCGCCGTCGGACCAGACAGCCGGACGATGCCGACGGCTGCCGAACCACCGCCCATGGAGGTAACAATCGCCGCGATCGTCCCCCAACCTGGGGACGCCTCATTCCTGCCCGCGTCCTCGGACCCAAAGCGCTCGTCTTCGGTGAGAATTAGGGTTTTGCCTAGAACAAAGAAAACAGGAAAAAGGTTAGATTTGCAGGCGGAGGAAGAGGGAGAGCTAAGGAGAAGCGGAAAACCTGTGGTGGAGAGCGAAGAAACCAGGGTTTTGGAATGGGTGATTAGGGCTTTGGGCGAGGAGAAGAGCTTAGGGAGTTTAGGGTTTAGGAGATTTGGGCGGCGGGACTTGGTATTGGTCCGCCGGAACGGGGTGAGGAAGAGGCGAAAGAGGGCGAGAGCCATTCGTTCGTTTTGGATTTGGGTGAGAGAGGATTCAGGGAGCTAAAGAATACATCGAGGGTTTGGGATTCGAAAGGGGCAAGTGAATCCGTTCGATATGACTTCGAGAACTGAGATGCGACGAAGAGGTACCTTTGTGAGCGTTGTGAGCATTCAAGATTGGAGAAATCTTACTTGACCGTTCGATCAAAAGCGAGCCTGCGGATCCATTTCTATGACTGCATCGACGTGCATCAAACTTTAAGATTCGCGTCGAACTTCATCTCTTTTTATTCATCATTCGTCCAATGAGTTAGACCAAATAGTTGACTAAAACAGAACATCTTAAAATCTACAGTAACGAAATAAAATCTCATTCATATATTTCACATTTACAAGATTACATTAATACTTGTTAATTGAGTGTGCTTTTAATATAAAATTTAGAGAGTATCAATTTATGCAATCTTATGTCGATAATTAGGAAAGGATAAAGCTTAGCCAATGGCAACACTTTGTATTGTTTTCTTAACAATAAAAAATTCTTAGAATATCTGTCTTAATTCCCAATATTGTCATACTTATATATATATATATATATATATATATAGTTGGCATCAGAATATTATGAATTGTTTTCCCGAAAGTGTACAGTATGAACTTTCAATGGCCAGCTTTGCATGGGGCACTAAATTCTCATCCTAAGAGAGAAAAGTGTACATTGCTTTCAAATCACCATCTAACCGAGCAGTGGTGTTACCATGCACGTTTCATGCACAGTTTGAACTTTTTCTCTTCTTGCTTGCTCAAATGCATATCACCATACTGTCAACAAGCTTTTACTGTCGATCTATGCCCACTTTATTTCTCACCTTCTGTCTCATCCTCAAAAGCATCAGAAGAAGTTGAGAAGAAAGAGAAGCAGTAAAGAAAGAAACTACAAGAAGAAGATAGAGAAACCAAACCGAAAACTTTGCCTCTTCTTTGAGGAAAAGGGAAGACTTGAATGTATCTACACATATCAGAAGTTGGGAAAGTAAGAGAAACAACAGAGGAAAAAACTACAGCAATAATATGGAGAAACTAAACCGAAAACATGAGGGAAAAGAGAAGATTTCTCAGAAGCATTTATGTATACACACATACCAGAAGTTGAAGAAGTCGGAGAAACAAGTAAAGAAAGAAAGTACAACAAAAACAAAGAGAAGTCAAACTCAAAAACATTGCTCCTTTTCAGAAATACAATATGTGTGTGTGTATATATATATATATATATATATATATATATATATATATATATCAGAAGAAGTTGAAAGGGAGGTAAGAGAAACAGTAAAGAAAGAAACTATAGCGAGAATACAGACACCAACTGAAAACATTATTACTTCTCTGAGGGAATCAGAAGAAGACGAGAAGAAACAAAAGAGAAAGAATCTACACCAAGAAAACACTAAAACTCAGCTGAAAATATTGCTTCACAACAATATGATATGAAAGCAGAAACAGCCCATTCCACACTGTTGGTAGCTAAATCAAAGGACTGGCCACCCACTGAAGTGGTGCCCAAAAGGTTGGTGGTCAGTTGCCACTGCCATGAGTGGAGGATCATTGCCATTTCCCAAGCTGACGTACACTGTTCTCACTCCACGCCACCATGCCATCAACCCCACCACAATCAAAAAGTCGCCGGACCACCTCACTTGCCACAGAGTTTTTGGTGCCCAAAGCACTCCCCTGCAACTACCAACCCTAAATACTACTGAAAGGTGAAATCACACAGCAGTAATATATATACACATATGTAT